GGCCACCACATAGTTACCCAAAGAGAGCTGACAAAATTCCAGAATTTCGTTCGGTACGTTGAAACACTACACTTTTACTTATTCAAAACTCAACTTAAAATCACATTAGTTTGCATTTAAAAGTAATTCTTCTTTAACTGTGAAGATACAAACTTAAGAGCTACCTTCAGCGAGCACTTGAAATGAACAGGCCTATTTTACATTACCTGAACTTTGCGCCTCTAGTCGATACTCAAACTTTGATCCAGCTACGTTGATATTATTCTTGATGCTGTCTGCATACTGCAGGATGGAGTAATCATCAGTCAGCTTTGGAGAGTTCGTGTTTTTTAATCTGACATTATCTGCCGTCCAGCCGTTAGTGTGACTAGTGATCAAGAGCGTCCACCCTCCGCCGTCACGTGACATATCACAATATGTCTTAATTGGCTGAGAGCCTGTGGGGTAAATCTTGTACACACCATCAGGATAGTTCTTCCCCTGTTCCTTCCCGAACTGCTTTAAGTGGTGACATGAAATTACCTCTGAAGGAAGACAAATAGAAGGCAGTGGTATTAACTTTACGGCACCACTTTCACTTACTGTATGTAAAAAAAAAAAAACTGCTTGGATGTAACATAAGCGTGGTAGGTCAGAGCAGGACGCCGATTCAGTCACTTTAAACCACTCTTTAGATCTTATTGGTAGATACTATGTCAGTGGTTATTATGGTGATTTTCGACTCGAATGGCTTATGTATTTCATGGGTACTGATTTACAGCGTACAAAGGTCCTAATTCTTCAGTCCCTTGAGGTTCTAGAGGAACGGTGAACCTAACATTTTGGCCTCACCGGGGCAACTCTCTGTATTGCAGTCCTCCGTTTCGTGCCTTTCTCCGGGGCAGTCAGCTCCTCCATGTAGAGGGAATGGATTGTTGCAGAACCGATGCCTTCTTCTTTTTCCACCACCACAGCCCTTGTCACACACAGTCCATGAGGACCAGTCACCCCAGGCTCCGTCACGTGGTATCAAGTCTGCAGAAAAAGTGAGTGACTTTGAGTTGCAACTATCAATATAATCAAGGTATCTTTACCAAATATGGTTAGAGTATCAAGAGAAACCATTTACTCTCACCTGACTTACAACTGTCTACAGTATCAAATCCTCCCTCGCAATGGCATTCCTTTTTGTTGGTACAGACCTAGACAACAAATCATGTTCGAATAAGAAGTAGGAAATGCTTTATGCAAATTTACCTCCTTTTGATTGCCACTAAGACTTATCACCTTTTAACGGCATTATCCTAACCAAGTATTTTCTTGGTATCGTGAATTATTCAAAATTATCTGATGAATCACTCACCCCTCTTCCTGCACACTCTTCATTGTTGACCAACGGACACCGCACACTGATATCGAGATCTTCAAATGATCGGCACTTGTAACCCATGCACATCTTAAATAAAATGTGAAATAGAATGAACCATTTCATTTATAGACAAAGTAATCAAAATTTGTAAGCGTTGATAAGGTACCTACATTGACAC